TTACGACATTTTTAATCAGTTGCCACTTAAAATTGTGATTTTTTTACCCTTAGAAATTGCTAGTAAATTTCACAATTAACCCTTTGCAAACACCCGTCCGCCTTTGTTACTGTTACTATGTCCGACGAGCCATGCTGCTCTCAGGCCACAAATCATGTTCTCACGCAGTGAAAAACACATCGCAGAGCAGAGGAAACTGACAACACGCCGACAGACAAGACAGAGCTGGTTACTTTAGGTATGAAACAAAGTCTCAGCTTTAAAATTGTCGGGTTTTTATTAGATATTCAAATAATAAATAGTTTTGTGGCTCTTCAATGTGTCATGACAGACGACTCAGTTCAAGCGGCACGTGAAGCGATCGCCTCTTCCTCTTTATTAGTTATAGTATGAAATAAACATGAATGAACATCAGAAAGTATCTTGTTTTAACCGCAGAAAGACGTCAATACTAGAGGTCGACCGATAGTGGATTTTACCGATACCGATAGCTAGGTTGGACCACACTGGCCGATACCGATTAATCAACCGATAGTTTTTAAAATGGTAAACGGAAACTAAAACAGAGCTTTACTATTTTAAAAAAAGCAGTAGCAGTTGAACCATACTTTGTAAATGAATAAACATAATAGCCTAGGGTGAAGTCATTACGTACATTAACAATGATTTGGGACAAATATAATGTAATTTAATGGAAAACTATGTGAATGGCGCTCTGTTCCGCGGCAGGATTTTCTGTCGGCTGCATTTAAATGCAGGTTTGAAGTTTCCCGCTCTGTGCAGCGCGCAGTGTCACGTGTCAAAACAAACAACACGTGCTGTTAAGTGATTTCCGCCTCTAGAGGCCGCTCTCGTACTGTATAATGGCAGCGGACCCTTCTCAGCCACTCCAGCAACAGACGCAACCCGGAAAACTATCGGCATTGATTTTTGCCGATAACCGATAGTTCCGCCAATCAACTATCAGTGCCGATTAATCGGCAAAACCGATGAATCGGTCGACCTCTAGTCAATACACACCATTTTTCCAAGTTCAAGTCCACCGACCTTAATCTGCTTTCCTGTCTTCTTCTTCTGGCTTTTTATGGCGGTTGGCAAACAAACAAAAAGGTGCATTTCCGCCACCTACTGAGCTGGAGTGTGATTCATTGATGGAACAGGAAGAAAGACTAAGCTGAGAGAAGAAAAAAAAAACACTAATAATAAATTGGCTTCCAAATCATCTTAAACAGATGCACCTTTCTTAAATATTTAATTAATGCTTTATATACTCTATAACTTTCCAATCCATTATTCAGCAGTTTTTTAAAGTGTAATATTTCCTATACCCATTTCTTTTAACTCTTCCACCAGAATTATCCTTTCATTTTGATAAGCAGTGCAATATATTAATACATGCTCTACAGTTTCTGCTAATCCACATAGACTGCAATTCCCAGACTCATTTTTGTTCATTCTATACAGGGAATAATTAAGAGCTGTATGCCCAAGGCGAAGTCTGGTTGCTTTCCAGCCTGGTTTGTTTGTCGGACAAAATGGCACATTTGGCGTTCTGATTGGTCAGATCGCCTGTCAATCAAACTCTCGGTGAAAGGTCAATTAATTACAAAGAAATGGCAAGTAACACATTGAATTAAACATGAAATTTTGAAGTAGAAAGACTGCAATAGTATTTTCTTGTAAAACACACGCCAATAGCGTTTCTTTAAATTTAGCCTACAACTTTGAGAAATAATTTTATACAGTGTAACAATAAATTTAACTATTGTCTTTTTTTTGAGAATATGATTATTTGGTGCAAAATTACTCCACAAACCTGTAAACTAACCGTTTGTTTTAATATTATGACTTATAAATAAATTGTTGTTAATTTTATTTTAATTAAATTTCATTATTAGTAATTATAAAATTGTAGTTATGTTTCTAGATGCTGACTGATACAGCCAAAATAAAAGCTAAGTACAGTAACAGCTATAATCTAGTGTTAAAAGTTTGAGCTACTCGTGTTTCTTGTCAGTAAAATGTTTTTAAATAAGTCTCTTATGCTTGCCAAGGCAGCAGGTATTTCATTTAAAAATGCAGTAAAAACAGTAATATTGTGAAATAATATTACAATTTAAAATAATTGTTTTCTATTTTAATATATTTAAAAATTTTATTTATTCCTGTGATGCAAAGCTGAATTTTCAGCATCATTAATCAAGTCTTCAGTTTCACGTGATCCTTTTTATTATTTCTTTCTTTTTATTATCAATACTGAAAACTGATTAATATTTTAACTGCAGTTTTTAAAGCCGATCCGGCGATCCACAGCGCGAAGTTGATGTATTTCCTCAGCGACCAGCAGGGATCAGCTCTAGGCATGACGAAGCAGATATCGTCCTCTTTTGGAAGACCAAACAAAGTAGTTTCGCTTTCACAACAAAACACACAGCGCCTTCACGACATGGCGGCGGCGGCAACAACAATACTACAGCGAGAATAAAAGTTATGCCTTCTTTCTTTGCGTGAACATTTGGGCGGCGTTATGCAAATCTTCCCACATAGTGACGTAGACATGTGGGGGCGTGTTAGAACGAGCCGTTTTAGGTAGGCGTGGCTGACTCTTAACTTTTATAAAGAATATCTCTTTGGATTTGAGACTTTAGTCTTTGCAACTTTACAGATCTTCTTTATGCACCAAGAGCTTGTAACACTTCAAAGAGAAAGGAAAAATTTGAAATCGCATCATATGATCCCTTTAAATTTTTATATTCAATTTTTTACCCAAAAGTTGGGTTAGTCCATATTTGACCCAGAGTTGGTTTGAAACAACCAAGCACTTTTTTTTTTTTGAGTGTTTAAAGTGCTGTTGACTTTGAATTTCCTGAGAATGGGAAATCCTGACTTACGGAGTGGAGTTTTTACCCGTTACATATTAAAAAGCAGGCTGGCATCACAAAACCCATGCAGAATATTCACACTGTCAGTTACCACGGCAACACACGTACAACCACTGCAACATCTCCAGGTTTAATTGAAAGCGCAGTGTTTACATTGCCCTAATTGGAGTCGAATCACGTCGCAACAGAGTTTAAAAATAATTACAGAGGCACCAGCCGAATACCTTTAAATCTTTAAAAAATTTCTAACCTCAATAAATCTAGTTTAATTGAGGAAAAACACGGCGTGCCATGCGTTTTGTCAGAATGCTGTGATAAACTCTGCATTTTGAACTAAAATTACAGCACAGTCTCGAAGGCCTGCTGTTCAACAGCTAGTTAGCGTGACCTCTATTAATCTGAGTGAAGCGGCTCCCATCTCACATACACTTGGCTTTATTTGAGCAGCTTTTAATTGTCATTACGAGGGGAGTTGCATGTTGCTGATGGACTGTAATTCTCTTGATTTTATTAACTAAACTGTGCATGAGCAGGACAGCACCGTTACACTCAAAACACACTTATTCAAAACTATGATGCCCAAAATCACTAGATTTTGGAACACAGCCATTATCTGACACATTATCATAAAAGGGTTCCAGTCCTGGCTGCTGATTGGTCAATACACAGTTACATAAAAAACAACAAAGCCAATTATTAGTAGGTCAATTATTTTAGTATGTCTGAAACAACTACTACTTTTTTATGTTTTTATTTCATTTTAAGATTTCCTGTAACAGGATGGAATGTTGTAAGGTGAGACTAACAAAACATCACAGAATTCATCAAACCTATTGCTAAATCCACAGACACCAAATATGATGTCACTTCCTGGTGATGCCATTCACAAACTGGCATTTATTATTATTATTATTATTTTAATAAATGTTATAAATTATTGGGATTTTCTAAAGCACAAAAGTAGCGTTCTAGGAATTAATACTGAGTACACAGAAAAAAGCATAACTTAATTTAGTTAATTTAAACAATATTCAGACGAAATTAGAAAATTATTAGAAAAAGATAAATAGTTTATATGTATTTAAAATAAATAAATAAATAAAGAAAGAAAGAAAGAAAGAAAGAAAGACAGACAGACAGACCTTGGGGATCAGGGTTATTATAACTAAAATGAAAACTAAACCCATAAAAACAATAATAATTCATTACTTGAAATAAAACTTTCTTTTAAAAAAAAATATATATTAAAAAAATTTAATTTTAATTTCATTAGTTTAACCTGATGTACTAAAATAACAGAAACTGAAATACAAATATAATAAAAATATTAAAAAAAACAAAAAGGCAAAAACACCCCCAAAAAATTCTTTTCAAAAATTGAAAACAGAAAATACAAAAATAAAAACCAATTCAAAATATTAATAAAAACTATAGTAGTATCTCAGTAGTAGTATCTCAGTATTATATATATATATATATATATACACATTCACGCACACACACACACACACGCACACACACACATTTATTTTTCCTAATGTGCTAAAGGGGCTGTATATACTCTGGTTTCCTATAATTACTTTTACAATACAGCGCAGCATCTCGTACCTTATTGGGCAATTATTACTTCATAGTTTAGTGATCATCATGCATTCTATTGACAGTATAATGATTATGCCATCGTCACCATAATTACAGAGATAAAAGCAGGCTGAGATGAAGCAGCTAAGCACACGCGAGGTGAGCGCATGATGAGTGTTTTCTCTGGGAGTGCATCTTAACAGCCTCCAGTGATGGAAGGAGATGCTGCTGAATTCTCTCTCGCACACGTCCCTCCCATAAAACCGTCAGCCGCACATCATATCAGCTCTGTGTGATAAACAACAAGTGCCATAATGCTCCATAAAGATGTGGCTTGTTGCTTGACAGAGAAAAGCCTCATATTGGCCATAAACTACAATTTCTCTCACTTAATGGGCAAATGTACTGCAAATGTCTGGATGTACATGCTCAAACACTCTCAAACACGTCAGCAAATATGAGGCAAATGAGAAAACCAAACTACTTCTCAGTTTCCATATATATATATATATATATAATTTTTTTTTTAATCACTGTAATTTTAAGCAAATGTAACTTCTGTCAGGAACAATCATTTTAAGAAAGGCACTTCACATAGGATTGAAACTTTGCATGTTTTGGTCACACAGAGAGCAGACAGAAAGCAGCACATACTAGTTAGCCGGCATCATGTCATCTGGGAAATGTATCGAAATGAAATCATAACAACAAATAAAAACTGTCAGCATTGAGCTTGAAAAGCCTTTCTGAATATGGTCAAATCTCACAGATTAGCAGAGAACATTGACGCGCCTGTAATGAAAGCAGAGACTTACGCAAAGCACATTTTTGGGCATAAAGTCTCTTGAAACGAGAACAGATATGAAGCCATCTGTCTGTCATCTTCTCAAAACAATACAAATCCTCCCAAGTGTCATTATAACCCAGAGCGAGCTATATTTGAATACAGTATTTGTCCGTGACTGAACATGTGAACAGGTCTTTCTAGGGGCCGCTGTTGGTCAGGGCGGTTTTAACCTGTCGCAGGAGCATAGAGCCCATCACTGTTTTCTCAGTGTTGATGGTGATCCCAGCGTCAGGATCCTTCAGGGCCACCGACACCAGGACCAGACATCCAGAACTCACCGTCTTACCTGCAAACCTGGAAATACACACACAAAAATGGATTGGTTGGTTGGCTTTTTGACACCATGTCAGCTTCCTTGGCTATTTTCATAGCGACTAACAAGTTTAAATAGTATAAAAGAGCAATTTTAAAACATACAGTAAGGTTTTAAAGTTGGCTTCAGATAGAAAACCTAAAACGGATTCAGGATTGACAAAATATCTGTGAAAGTTTCTTGAACAGAGAGAAACATAAAACATTCAAACAATACAATTATTTCGAAATGGACACAATTTACTTAACCAATACCTTTAATCTTATTGTGCACAATTTATTAGTTTATATTCTCCCAAAAATGGCTCTTCAAAAGACAAAAAAGACGTAACCAACGAACTTCAAATTACGTACATGAAATGAACTGTGAATGAGATTATTATAAACTTAATTAGAGAATAAATTAAAGGGGCCTGCCACAATGAATATATTTGCAGTGTTCGCAGAGGATTTAATGACTAATGATCTGAAAAGAAGGTGATAATGATAATAGCCAAACAACAGTTAGTGGTAATATATTAAAGATTTACAAAATATCCTAGTATCTATCATTTTTGAATCAATGTCAAATAAAAACAATTGATGAGACTGAGACATTGATGAAAACAAACATTGATGAGACTCAGATTTTTGAAAATAAATACATATATAATACAACATACACACACACATAAGAGAGAGACAGAGAGACACACACACACACACACATATAGAGAGAGACAGAGAGAGAGACACACACACACACACACACACACACACATATAGAGAGAGACGGAGAGAGACACACACACATATAGAGACAGAGAGAGAGAGAGAGACACACACACACACATATATATATATATATAGAGAGAGAGACAGAGAGAGAGAGAGAGACACACACACACACATATATAGAGAGACACACACACACATAGAGAGACAGAGAGAGAGACACACACACACATATAGAGAGAGACACACACACACACATATATATATATATATATATAGAGAGAGAGAGAGACACACACACACACATATATATATATAGAGAGAGAGAGAGAAAGATACACACACACACTTTTTTAATTGTGTAGGTAAATTCTACTCCATATGCCATACCTAATTTAATAAAATATAATATAATGTAATATAATATAAAATATAATATCATATAATATAATGCATGCATAGGCTTACATATTATATAAAAAATATAGGTTTATAAACAAATACAGTGTAAAAATTATTATTTGCGTAAAATACTTTCCAAAACAAATATTGGGTTTCCAACTGTTAATAACAATGAATAAGTATGTAAATAAGTATGTGAATAATTATGTAAATAAATACATTAACAAATATATTTAATAAAGTGCATAATTATGTGCCATACCCATATGTGAGCACTGGAGAGAGTGTGTGTGTGTGTGTTGAACAGGCATGGCAGTCTATTATTTGGTCTGATTAAGAAGCTATTAGGGACAAGGGACACACTCCCGTCACTCACAGACTCGACCCGGTAGCCTCTCACAGACAGGGAGCAAAGTGTGGGGGTGTGCACTAAATAGAGTGCAGAGGACTAGATCAACTTCAGTGGAGATGGAGTAAAGCATACGGAGCAATATTATGATTTTAATAAAAGCTCCAAGGGACTTAATGTGTGATATCTATGATGCAGCATTAAAGGCCATTCACATCAGTAGAGAAATGATTATGCAAATAGAACTGTGATTTTCGTTGGCGATTCATTCTGCTTTGTCGTTTCACATTAATAGCAAAAACTAAGTATGCTTTACTTTTTACACGTAGTCATTTAGGAGACATGTTTATCCAAAAAGACTATTTGCAGCATACAAGTTGCAACTGTAAGCTGTAGTAGTACACAAGCAATGCAAACTTTCATTGGGATCTGCAAAAATGTAGCATACCTGAAAGAAAGCAAAACACAATGCATTTCATGTACTTTAAACAATAAGCTAAGAGACGTTGTGCTATATTCGAAAGAAAAAGATGTTAGGGTACAATGGAGTTGCTATATGTGCAATAAAACACAAGTCTCTTCTGCTAGTAGATATAGCCACTGATATTTAGTAGTAGAAGTTGAGTGCTTAAAAAGTGACGTGACATGTGGCCAAGTATGGTGACCCATACTCAGAATTAGTGCTCTGCATTTATCCCATCCAAAGTGCACACACACAGCAGTGAACACACACACACCGTGAACACACACCCGGAGCAGTGGGCAGTGCGGCGCCCGGGGAGCAGTTGGGGGTTCGGTGCCTTGCTCAAGGGCACCTCAGTCGTGGTATTGAAGGTGGGAGAAAGCGCTGTACATTCACTCCCCCTACCTACAATCCCTGCCGGTACGAGACTCGAACCCACAACCTTTGGGTTACGAGTCCGACTCTCTAACCATTAGGCCACGACTTTCCACCTGATTTTTTAATGCAAATCAGATACTTTTATTGCGAGAAGGTGAAATAAATCAGTGAAATAAAGTGCAAAATAAAAATAAATAAAACAAAAAATACAATAAAATGCAAAACTATATAAAATAAAACTAATAAAAAATTAAAGAAATAAAACAGAAAACGGAAAACTATAAACAAACAAACAAATAAAATGATAATAAAATTAAACCAAACAAATAATCTTCATGGTAAAAGTAAACAAAATTAAATAAAACAAACAAAGGAAATACAAAACAAAATCTAAAATGAAAACAAATAAAAATGAAAACAAATGAAAATAAAAAATAAAACATTACAAAAATGAACAAACAACAAAAAACAAACAAATACTCTTCATGGTAAAAATAAATAACATTGAGGAGATAAAAATTTTAAAATAAAATAGAAAACAAACAAACAAATGCTAATTAAACAAACAAACAAATATCAAAATCTTTACAGTAAAAAAATAAACAAAATCAAAGAAATAAAACAAAATATAAAATAAAAACAAACAAATTAAAAATAAATACAACTAAAAATGAATGGATAAATGGATGGATGAATAAATAAATAAATAAATAATCTTCATGGTAAAAAATTAACAAAAAGTAAAAAAAAAAAATTTAAAAAAAATAGAAAACCAACAAATAAATAATTAAACCAACCAAACTAATAATCCTCATAATGATGGATTCTAAATGGCTTGCTAATGACACATTCTCCAAACAACTATCTAAATAAAACTGTCTAACAGAATGACTGTTTCTAATGGAATGAAAAGCAGAACAGTTCTCAGTGATATGTAAACTAAGGATAATAGTTGACCTCTATGGGTGATGTGCAACAGGGTGAACAGGTTTATTTTCACACGACTGGAACACTTTTTGACCAAACATCTCGGAAAGGAACCGTTGATTTTAAAATGCTAAATAAAACCCATTGCTAAAATGTAAATGGATGCGTTACAATTAGAGATCGACCAATATATCGATTTACCGATATTTTTCCCGACATTTAAGCATTTTACCATAATCGGATATCGGTTTTATAATATCGGCTTCACCGATAAACGCCTCCATCTTGTGGGTGTTTTGAGAATTGCGCACAGGATCGCCATTGCAGCACGGGGTCTGAGGGGAGACGAGACAACAACAACAACGGCATGATTCAGTGAATTAACATTATCCAGTGAATTATTCTTGACTCTGTAGCTATTAAACACCTTATAAACCTACTAAAACTGTAGTTTAAAATGAAGTTGAAATGACTCCTGTAAATAAATATCGGTTCTGCATAACGGTTATCGGGCACATAAACATACAAATAATTGGCATCGGTATCGGTTATAAAAAAAAATCAATATCGGTCGATCACTAGTTACAATAGTATGATGCAAGTAAACCAGAGTGAACTAGAGTAATAATAGAGATGAACTGTACTAATGAACTGTTCCATAGCGCTGTGGGAGAATTCCTGGTGTCCAGTAACCGTGGTAACGTCACAGACTGGAAACTCTAGTGAATGCACCACACGTGGATCCACTGACAGTGCAGACACGACCCTGTCCGACCTCTGTGCCCTTGTACCTCCTTCCTGTCTGTCGCTCGTTCCCTCTCTCACTGAGGGGGACCCACGTGCCTGATACACTGCCATCTGCCTCCCATTTACACAGCCTATTATACAACAATCAACCGTTTAGCACACACCCTCACACAAGGGGACACCATTTAGCACTGAGAAGCACACATACCCCCCGCCCCACCAGGAGGCCCCTCTTTTACTCTCAAATTCTCTGTCTCACACACACACACACACACACACACACACACACAATGGCCACCATTTAGCCATGACAGCATGAGACACAAGAGCCGTCAGAGCCACTGCTAACCAACTGGAGAGGGTGTCACATCTGACAATCAGCGCGCACACACACACACACAGACACAAATGTTACATTACAGACAGAACGACAGATAGAACGATAGATAGAACAATAGAATGATAGATAGAACGATAAATAGATAGATAGATAGATAGAACGATGGATAGATCGATAGATAGAAATAACGATAGATAGAAATAACGATAGACACAGAACGATAGACACAGAACGATAGATAGAACGATAGATAGATAGATAGATAGATAGATAGAACTATAAATAGAACGATAGATAGAACGATAGATTGATAGATAGACAGTCAAAACGATAGCTAGGTAGACAGAACCACAGACAGGCCGATATATGAACAGACATACAGTATATAGATAGTTCTATAGACAGACAGACACGTATATACAGATATTTCAGATCTAGCGTATTATATCTGTGCTGTCAGTGTGCTGCTGACACTCTGATCTCTCAGTCCCTGCGGCTCTACTAATGGAGTCAGTTTATAAAAGTCTTATTTACACACGCACTTAACACGGCCCTGAGGCACAGCATGTGTGTGTGTGTGTGTGATATAACCCAAAGCCACTTCATTCACATGATTTCAGTGGTCTCTAAACATACATACACAAATATAGACAAACAAACAC